TCCAAATTCAAAAAAGTGCATTATCCAACATATATGTTGGATTCACATCAAGATCAGAAGACTTCTTTGTAAAAATGAATTTATGATTGCAAAAATTATTTTGGACACTGCATTAATCAAGCTATTAGAAATCATGGAACTCTGGGAGAATCTTTGGTTAATCTTCGATTCTTCAATAAATTACCTTAATGTCTGTAATAATTATTCAACAATTGAGGAATTTCTATTTCTGAGTTCTTCAATATTATTACCTCTGATATTTCTCTTTTAATGAAGTGCATTTAATCATATCTATCCGTGTCAATCATTCCAGGCTTCGAAAAAAAGACTGTTTCACTGAAACCGATCGGAAAGATGCAGAAAAATCATTCCATCCAACAGGAGAACACCGAACATCGATGGAGCTTGGATACAGTATTCCTGATCAAAAAGTTTCGTGACGTTTCTCATGGGAAAGAACAAGAAGTTACACGAAAGTCACTATCAAAAATTGGAGACTTTCTCGTTAGGAACACTGTCGCTAGGTTCCATTGATTTGAAATGTCTTCGTGCCGAGATCGGCTCATATTTCTCGACTTAAGTACTATAATAATTAGATGTTTTTGTTAGTGTCTTGATAATAGCTTACTAAAAATGAACCATCATTGCAAGAAAAGCTCGAGAAATATGCCCAATGAAGAAGAAAATTGATTCAAGTATCAATCTAGTAACTGATATAAATATTAAAGTTAATTTGATAACGTCATGAATCTAGTTGAAAGAAAACAGGGTAACTGCTGGTTATATAAAGCATTGGTATGAATGTATTTCTCAAACTCACTCAAGTTGACAAATATTTTCTTTTAAGTTTCATTTTTGAATGATTCACATACCTTGCAAAATTTAATATCGACAATAGACATCATCAACTCAATTACCTTCAATACAATAGTAATTTAATATTCTTAAACGATAATGGCAGTAAATAATGTTAAAATCCCTATAGAAAGTGAAGTTCAGCGAAAGAAATTTTACTTTAAATAGTCTTTTTTAATTAATCTTATTTGAATGAACTAAAGGTTCATAACAGTTTAAAACGAGATGTGGGTGTGAGTGGATGTGGATGTACGTGTGGGTGTGGATGATGATGCTCTTTTCACCCACACCCAAGAAAATGTCATCTTGAAACAATTCTGATCATAATCAAATTCAGCAAGGATATCATGAAGATAGTCGACATAATTATCTAGAAATATTTCTTTTGAGATGAAGAAAACAAGATATTATCAATGATATGATTTAACATCTCTCAAGTTATTATTACTCAAATATATGAAGATTGTATCTAATTAAATTATCTCAAGTCAGAAACATGAAAGCATCTAATGTAAACAATGTCTTTGCCCATGTTAAAAATACTGATTTCATCTACAATTTTGAATTATAAAGATGTGTGTAGGTTGAATGATGAAAATCCTCAAAAATGTTTTCTCAAATCTTGTTTTAATCAAACATACAACTGATTCCATAAAAGAAACAAGTCGTATGAGTTACTCATTTTACTTTCACTAAAAACTTCATTAATAATTCTTTCTTGAAAAAAAGAAAAACAAAGTTTTAAATTATAAAAGAATCAATGATTTTCGTACTAGTCGATTTATGTAGAGTATCATATTAATCTCTTATTTTCTGATAATATCTAAAATTTCAATCTATTTCAATTATCCATCTCATTTTCATTCCATTCTAATCTTTAATTTAATCTCTCAGAATTATATTTATCTATTTTTCATGTTGTTGTCATTATATGATAAGACTCATTGAATTATGACTTAGTAAAACCGAATGAAGTCTCAACTAGAATCTGGATAAAGTACTTTGATTGATTCTTATATACAGACATACTTAAGTAGAATGTGTGTTTACCTAATTTACAGATATTCATAACTGACAATGGTAAACATACGGCTTGTGGTGAACAGCATGAGTTAATGATGCATACGGAAGTATTTTCTGCACAATTATAGGTAATATTGTTACATGGTTCCAAAATTGAACACAAAATTCCAGGTGCACAATATCTACTATTATTGAGTGTGCGGTAGTCAAAGCAAGGTGTCACTGATGAACGACAGTTATCGTTGTTATTCAAGCTGACATTACATTGTTGTAAAGAACAATTTAATATTGGTTGCCATGCAGAATGAGGTGACGAAGACAATTTAAATTCGACAACAGCATTATTTTCATTACAATAGTAATTAGATCCTGGTGTAATTTGACCTAAATATTGTTGATATTATGAAAGAATCAAATTAGAAGAAATAAATTAGCAAACCTTTCACACATGAGAAGAAAATGCCGAAAAATAAAGCTATTACAAATGGCATAGTTTCTGTGTAATGAATGAGCGAAAGAAGTATTCAAAATGAATTGTTTTTTTTCTGCTTTATGATAAAACACTTACTGAATTTGTCTTTCAAGTTAAAGAAAACAAAAATTTCTTTTTCAATGTTTATTCATTCTCTAGAAGTAAAAGAAATCAGAGATTGAAAAAATATTAACGAAAGTTTCTTATGAAGTAGCCTCACTATCAAACAGATTAAATTTTGTCGTTTTTTTTTCATATTTTCATCGAATGAATTGTATTTTTTACTTTCTTCAACAAACTAAAATCATGAGATTTCTTCCATTAAAATGTGCTCTGTCATCAATATAAAATAACTAATTTCTTGACAACAACAAAACGAAAACATTATTTGAAGTAGAATTTTTTTTACTTCCTAATTGTCTTTTTTAGACTTTATTTAACTTATAACAGAATTTTGATTATTCTGAAATTATTTTCAATGTAAAAATTTGATAAAACAAACAAGAAAATAATATAGATGAGAAAAATCAGTAAAATGCTCATAATTATCGAAGGAAGACGTATCAGCCCAAATTCTCATAGTATTTTTCTTAGAATAGTGTCCTGAACAGATCATTTCTACCTAGATTGTTGATAACTCAACGATGATATAGTTATCACAATATCTTTAATGAGTTATTAACTATCACATTGTTATCATTCTTTGCCAATATTCATTGGTGCAAGTTTCAACTACTATACAATTCCAATATTTAGAACTCTTTCAAAGAAAAGCAAAACAAAATACTAAAGAAAATCATTATTCTTTCCTTTCGGTACACGAAAGAAAATCAGTCCTTTTTCTGTACTCTCAAACGACATACCAGAAAAGAACATAAAAGAAGTAGTTTTCAAGAGAAATCACAATGAAAAAGAAAATCTATTACTGGGTTTTTTTTATATACAATTAGATAGAATGTCTACAGCTTTGAATGAAAAGTATATAATTATTATGATCAATATAACTTAGTATTTTAAGAGTAATTGATAACTTATAAAAAATCACAATATTTAGACTAGTTAGTCTATAGTAGAAATCTTAGATTCATAACATAATTTGGAAGATTCTAGAAAGTTCCAGAATAATCCAAGCACTACAACTATTGATATGTCTTTCCTTGTTGCAAGAAAAACATAACCAATAGTCACTATCTCTCTCCCATTTCGGTTACTAGAGCCAAGGGGAAAAGTCTCTAAAACCTCGATTTGAACTTTTTGTATTCCTCGAAAATATATGAGTTTCACAAAAGAAAACAACGTATGTCTGAAGAAAAGCTTTTGCTTTCTTGACGAAAAAGAGTTTTTTTATTCGATAAAAACTCATCAACAATTTAATTTTTATTATCCGATGATGAATGTTTCATTTCTAGTTCCGCTAATGAGAGAAGTTCATTGACTTCTTTGAATTCTTTTTTTTGATGGATCTTGTTCCATTACTCGATATTGATCATAAAGTCTATATGCCTAACTAAGACGATTGTAAAGCAGCTGAATTGTTTGAAAGATTCGTTGCTAATAGACTTTTGCTTTCGATAACAAAATAATCAGCTATATCATGTATTAATCGTACTAATAAATCTTTATCGAATACGAATGGTAGTGCAAGATAATCAAGATATTTTCTCATCCAATCATCACTACGGCTAATATCATGACAAAAGACATAAATTGATTGATATGGTTCATATATAACTGGATTGATGAAAATATTTTTACATTTTTCCATTATTAATGGTACAGCTGCTCTTCCTATTTGTCCTGATGTTATTAAAAAGATTCATTTGTCTTGATTATTTTGTAAAAATTCTACATAATGTTCAACATTTGTGAATGTTACTAATAAAAACTTGACACCTTCAAAATTGAGTTGTTCAAAATCAACTGTACGATTATTTGCATCATCATCTTTGTTAATTAATCTTATTGGATTCACACTTTTTGTCTCAGCTGTACTTGAAAAAGCAGTTTTTAATCGTTGATAAACTTCTCGTCTTTCTATATGTAAATCAAGGCAAACAATCATATGATTTGAAATTTTCTCATCTAATGCAAAAGCATCATTACACATTTTTATCTACAATGTTAATAGAGAAAATGTAGAACTGATATTCAAAAAAAAAAGAACAAAACAAATTAAGTATGTATTGTATCAACATAACTTACTAGATGTTATCTTCATTTTTTTGTCTTATCTATATTGAAGTGATTATAAAGCGATTTTCAAACATACGTGTCAGGCAAAGTTGAGTTTTAGGCAAAATTAAACAGAGTTTTTAAAAAAATTCGAAAAATATGAAAACAAAGAACTGATCTTATACATCGATATTAAGTCACATTCAACTTTCATTGAAATCTAGTTTATCTTAGTAAATTTTGACTAAAAAAAAGAAAGCGAGGATCTTTAAACGTATGTTTCTATGAGCAGTATTTTTTATCGATGTTTATTTGTCTTCGAATTCAACTTCGCTCATAGATAATATTTACGAGAGGGTCCACGAGATTACCTCCCAAACAAGTTGCCGAAAAACTTACTCAGAAATACAAATTTATACAACTTTTGGCCAATGTCTTCATATACTTCAGCGATCTAAAAGTTTTGACCCAAACTATCGGTCTGTCAAAAAACTATAGTTTTTCAATCATTTTGTTTATGAACTTTTTCACCATAAAAATTCCACTAAAATCATTATCAAATTATACTAATCGATAGAGCAGAAGCTGCTCTACAAAATTCTTTATTTTTCTATGTCACTACTTACTTTCTAAAAACGAAAAAAATCATTGTAATAGGTGAAGTCAATCAATTTTTATTCTATTTTACATACTGTATTTTACTATTCTTGCTAATGTTATGCAGTTAATTTTCAAGAGCCTAAGGTAAGTTTCACATAGTTTTGTGGAGCGTCAAAAAGTGCATCTTTTGATAAAAAAACATTAGTTCTAAAGTGCTGGACAAGGTCCCGAAAAGTTCATAATAATGTTGGTTATTGTACAAGTTCGAAAAAGAATATTTGTCGCTATTCTATTAGAAGTCCATATCGTTCGATAGAGCTTAGTGTGCTGATTACAAATATCACATTTTTTAAAAAAGTTATTCTGATAATAAGAAAGATTTGAAGCACTTTCTGAAAGTCATAAAACTAGTTTTTGATCTGTAGATCCATGAAAATCCTATCCAAATTCGTTGAAAATAAACTTATTTGGTGTAGAATATTTTTCTCTATTAGAACTGATAAGATCCTTTTAGGCATTGAAATCTTTTGCTATCGATGAATGTCAAATATCACCCCAATTGAATCATATACTTACAAATAGTGGTATTTTTCAGTCTTATGAGTTTAGAGATTTTTCAGGTGTTATCAGCAACTTTCGTTTTACCGACTATATAATTTAGTGTCCTCTTTCTAATGAAACACAATAATTCCAAATCCAATAATTTCCGTTTGAGTTCAAACAAGTATCATACTTGGAATCAGCAGAAAAGACTAACTCAACCTATGTGCATTTGAAATTATTTCTGCTACTCTTCTGTCGGGTCAAATTTTTATCCGTGGTTCCCTTCAAGGATATATGAAACAATAAATCTAATCAAGCAACTAGTTTATTGATTATTCATCAGTTTTTTTGGCTTCAAATAGTATTTCACCAGTTTGAGACTTTCTTTTCATTGTCCAAATAACTTTTTGAATAAATTTACTGTTTCACATGTCTATGCGGAGGACCTGGGCTAAAAATGTACGAGAAAAAAAAGTCGCAGAAACACTTTCAAATACACATAGGTTGAGTCAGTCTTCTTTGCTGACTTCAAGTATGATTCTTGTTCGAAGAAAACGTGGATTATTGTGTTCGAAAACCATCGAATATCAGTCAAAAGGGCAGAAATTTGGTCCTATGAGTAGTATTAGAACAAGTGTTTTATTAGACATCGAATTTTAAGCTGGAAACAGTTTCATTAGAAAGAGGGCACTAAATTATATAGTCGGTAAAACGAAAGTTGCTGGTACACCTGAAAAATCTATAAACTCATAAGACTGAAAAAAATCACTATTTGTAAGAATATGATCCAGTTGGGGTGATATTCAGCATTTATCAATAGCAAAAGATTTCAATGTCTAAAAGGATCTTATCGGTTCTAATAGAGAAAAATATTCTACACCAAATAAGTTTATTTTCAACGAATCTGAATAGGGTTTTCATGGATCTACAGGTCAAAAACTAGTTTTACGACTTTCAGAAAGTGCTTCTAATCTTTCTTATTATCGAACTAATTTTTAAAAAAAATGTGATATTTGTAATCAGCACACTAAGCTCTATCGAACGATATGGACTTCTAATAGAATAGCGACAAATATTCTTTTTTGAACTTGTACAGTTACCAGCATTATCATGAACTTTTCCGGACCTTGCGCAGTACTTTAGAACCAATATTTTTTTATCAAAAGATGCGCCTTTAGACACTCTACAAAACTATGTAAAGTTTACCTTAGGCTCTTGAAAATTAACTGCATAACATAAGCAAGAATTGTAAAATACAGCATGTAAAATAGAACAAAAATTAGTTGACTTCACCGATTACAATGATTTTTTTTGTTTTAGAAAGTAAGCAGTGACATATAGAAAAATAAAGAATTTTGTAGAGCAGCTTCTGCTCTATCGATTAGTATAATCTGATAATGATTTTAGTGGAATTTTTATGGTGAAAAAGTTCATAAACAAAATGATTGAAAAACTATAGTTTTTTGACAGATCGATATTTTGGGTCAAAACTTTTAGATCGTAGAAGTATATGAAGACATTGGCCAAAAGTTGTAAAAATTTGTATTTCTGAGTAAGTTTTTATGCTCTTTCAAACTAGCAAACTCATTTCAAAAAGTAAAATTTTTCGACAACTTGTTTGGGTGGTAATCTCGTGGACCCTCTCTTAATTTCGTATAGACTGCTTGGAAAAAATGTCTTTTCTTATGAACAGATAGAGCGTCTTTTGCTCTGTCTTTCTACGCTACTATTTGATCACTATTCAATCGATAACAAAATAATAAAATTATCATAAAATTGTTCTTTGTGCAACTCCAGCTGGTACCAATAGTACATACTAGGTGGTCCATAAGTAAGGAAATTAAAAAAGCATTGAATATTTCCATTACGGCTCGACCAAACGAGCTTATTTTTATATCAAGGCTAGAGGCCTGTTCACACTCCAAATGCAAACGGACAAGGTAAATGAGAATCTTTGTAAGTATCACTATTAACCTCAACAAGAAAATTTTACCTTTTCACAGATTAGAAAAGAAAAAAATCTAGTTAACAAAGGTTAACACTAATCTTGTCCATATGGATTTAGAGTATGAACATACCTCTATTTTTGGTTAAAATATCAGCTCGTTTGCTCTAGCTGTAACGAAGATATTCAATTTTCTTTCCAGTAAACTGACTTTTGAACTACCCTGTACATTGAATTTTTTCCTATTTGTAAAAAGGTAAAATTTTCTTGTTAAGGTTAATAGTGATACTTACAAAGGTTCTCATTTACCTTGTCCGTTTGCATTTGGAGTGTGAACAAGCCTCTAGCCTTGATATAAAAATTAGCCCGATTGGTCGAGCCGTAATGGAAATATTCAATTTTTTTTTGTTTCCTTACTTATGGGCCATCCGGTATGCACTATTGGTACCAGCTGGAGTTGCACAAAGAACAGTTTTATGATAATTTTATTATTATGTTATCGATTGAATAGTGATCAAATAGTAGCGTAGAAAGATAGAGCAAAAGACGCTCTATCTGCTCATAAGAAAAGAAATTTTTTCCAAGCAGTCTATACGAAATTAAGATACGAAGCCGACTACTTTTAGTATGACCTAAGTAAGTATATTTTACGAAAATAACAGTTTTCTTTTAAAATAAAATTTGACTAACCAATACACAACTAAACATATTCATAAGCATGAAATGGTTCAATTGGTATTGTTTGAAAATTTTTATTCTCATCTCAATCATTCAGTACTTTATAGAAGAAAATAAAATCTTTTTCTGCTTCATCAAATAAATTGAATATGAGAGAGTCTATTTTTATATTAAGAAAAAAAAATTGAATAAGATAAGTAATCGACAGTCGTATTAAAAAAAACATATATGATTATATTCACAATAAATGAAATTGTTTTTTGTCAATTTCATTTCTTATTAATCAAAAATACATTGTCAATCCACAATCATTATCTTCAATTAAATAACAAAGTTGTTTGTCAAAAGATAACAGTAAAATACGATGATAGAAATGCTTAACAGAGCTCCGCTTGGAATGACATGGAACGAAAAAAATCGTCTCATCCGATGCCATTCTATGAGAGAAACAGCTACAGATATAAACATCTTTTTTCTAAATGCGGAAAGATACAAATGTTTTTTTCGCATAGATGATATTCTAATCTATTTTAGTGGACTATGATTCTCTCAATAATTTCCGACACTTACATCGACTATTTATGAATGTAATGAAACCTTTTGAGCTTGTATGACTTGAGTCTATAGAATGAGAAAAGATAAGGTCGAATGTCTCAGGTAAACTAGACCTTAGTTATCTTCTTAGTTTCGAATAAAAGAAATCGAGAAAGTTTATCATAGGTACTACTTGTTGAGATAATCATTTTGTTTTTGTACTGAAGTTTTTCTCGACTGTTCTATTTTTTTGAGAATTCACTACAAACAAATGCTAGTTTCTGGCAACTGTCCTCTATCCAACGCTCAAACTAGCAGTTCTGTAGCTTGTTTCAGGATCAAATGGCAAAAGGATTTTTGGAATCTATTTTTGAATGTTTTCCAACCTTGCAGCCTTCCCCTTTCACCCCAGGCACAACCACGAGATTTTCAAAATCTATCCAACAGTAGGAGTGTGGGTGTAAAATGTGAATATAGATCTTAATAACACTCGCATTCACACACTCAGCGATCATTTTTATGTTCATATTTATCGCATAGTTATTCAGAGGTACCAGAACTATACTAAAGAGAATAAAATGAAAAAAAAACAGGAGAAACTGATAATCTTAATAAACAACTCGAAGATTCTTCAAATAGATAGATCCGCTGTTCATGATGGAAGCTGGGATGTCATTATTTATAATGCTGAAAGTTTATTATTTCATACATGTGTTTTCGTGTTTCGATTTTTTTTTATTTAAAGGCTAAGGAGTATAATCATATACTTTTTAATCGTCGAACTATTTCATTTGATTGTGAACTATTCAAATTTTGTTTTATTTTTTCGGTAAGAACAACACATCAGCACAGTTTATGTTAGAAATCATTAATTTGTAGTAACTTCATTGGTTTATTCTAAAATAACAAATATTTTCTTTTCTATTTTAAAATTTGTCAATCAACTGATAGATTTTTCTACAACCAATGAACATCGTTAATACATTTATCTACTAGAAAAATTACAAAAATTTTCTTAAAAAATAAATTAATCTCACTAAAAGTTATGCTCTTGAGATTATGTTCATGTAAAGGATAAAAGTTTTAATGTTTTTTAGATACAATTAATCATGTTGATGATCTATTTGGCTATTTTTACTTTATGTCTTACATCAAAAATTTTAGCTCTACCTGCACCAGCTGTCGTTTATTCAGCTGTTATCTATAATGCACAAGAATTACCAATTCAATGTAATATATTTCGGTCTCATCCAGATGGACGTTTATTAAAATATAGACCATTTACTATTCGAAGGAATGAATATCGTTTAATAAAGGAAGTAACATTGAATATGGGAACATGGACAGCCGTTGCAATAGTAAAGAAAATTAAATGTGGAAATTTAGTACTTACTGCTCCATTTGATCATGTTAGATCCATACAACACAATTGGGAATTTCATGTTCAACCAGATAAAATTGTATCGGTTGGACCGAGTTCATATGTTGCTAATACTTAATCATATTTTATAACTATGTGAATCCCCTAGGAACACCACATATATATATATGTACATATCAAAAAGAAGAAAGTTATTCTCATTTATTTTTATTTTTATTAGAGATCCACGAGTTAAGAAGCTAGATTATTCTAGTTCGCATAGTTGTACGACGATGTTAACATTTTAAACAAAAGAGAGTGATGATGAGACACTATGAAATTTGGCGGTTTGCTACTCTATTGATAATGCTGTCCTTTTTTTTTTTGAGAATAAAACTAAATCTATAAAAATGAATTCGTATTAATAATTTCTTGTATTCAGATATTTTATGTTTAATTTAGATTATAGAAATAGAATAGTGAGTGTAGCATAGATCCACGAAGAAGAGTACGGCGTCTGTACGGGTTGATCAACAACTGAATTATATTTCAATTATAGAATACAATGTTATACGATCGTCATATAGAATCAAATGTAGCTAATCAACAGATTGTCTGAATGAAGCAAAGCGAAGTAGTTTTAGTATGATTTTGTTTATCTGTCTCATGAATCTTTGATCTATATTTTCTTTCTTCTCTTTGATGTGTACATGAGTATATATGTATGTGTATTATGGTATGTTCCTTTGTTTTTTTCTTTCTTCTGTTCTCTTATCGTACATAGATGACATGTACGATATACATATATATCTTTTCTTCTTTTGATATAGTTTAGGTATTTTCTCTTTTGTTCTAACTACATTTGGTCTTTTCCAATTTTATTAGTATATATAACAATTATTTTAAATAAATAAAAAAGAGTTTAAAAAGTCATTTAATCTATCGGTTAGATCGAAACTATCGGTTAACATTGGTGCACTAGCCCCGATTCTCGTGTCAATTCTTCATCACAAGAGAGGATCCAAATAAATATTTTTTTATTGTTTTGGTTAGGGTGTAAGTATGTGCGTATGGGTCTGGCTCTGGATGTTCGTCTTCTCTTCAGTCACATCCACACCGAACTTCTTCGAATATTCTATATGTAGGGTAGGGATGGCAGCTTAGCATTAGGATTTTATTAGCTTAATACTCATACCAATACTTTTCCGTTACGATCCTGAATCAATAGTATTGTAGTGAGTCATACGATCAAGAGGTTAACTAAGTTTTCTTCCAATTCTCACATGAATAAAAAAATTATTTTTTTTTTACACAAAATTCAAAATTATTTCGACAACACTGAACAAAATAAATTTCGAAAACTTTTTATTTTTATTTTTTGAAGAAAATCTTCTAATTATAATTATGCTGAAAAAAGAAAACATTTGAAAAACAAAAATAAATTAAAAATTATTTAAACTGAAAAGAAATCAAATACTTTTGATATTATGATTCAATTTAATCTTCAATTTCAGATGCACATTGTAAATCTCCAACTAAATAAAATTTGTAATAATTAAATTATCCTTAAATTAAATCTTTTCAATTTAATTTACACTTGTACTTCTTACTAAGAAATAAATATATTGCATTTTACTTTCTCATACTTTTGTATTTCTTTTCTACATACGGAAATGCAAAATATGATGAGACATATCAGAATAAAGATGTACAAAATATATTGTCTATTCTTGATTTTGAAGGACTCTTATAATAGTCATTCAAATTAGAACAGAAATCAATAACATCGATTATTTCAAGGAAGTAATACAAATATTACACTCTATTTCCTTGGTTTTCCATTATAATTAGTCTGATGAATTAGTAGAACAGGTTAGTTGAAATAAAACAGGTTGTTTACAGTATTTTGACTATTCTGGACTAGGTTGGCAGTACATTCTTATAAAAATGGATTCGTCTTGACGAGCACATATAATAGCTTAGACTAATCAGAACGCCCGTCAATTATTGAATAATATCGCGTTGGATGTTCAAATCCACTTTTCATCTGCCTGTTTTTTATTCTTTTTCTGTTCTACCAACCAATCTAGACGAGGTAGATAGACAAACAAACAAGACATAAACTGGGTTTAGGAACGTCCTTGACTGGTCCACACGTGGTTGTACGACATTTTTTGTCAAAGTAACTAGTCATGACCGGTATAGAAGACGTTTTAGACTAGACCTAACGGGTATTGTGGACATTTTGGACTTGTCATGCAATCTGTCTTCATTCATTTTTTTCTTGCTTGGACAGTGAGTGACACGTTTCACTGACGTATTTTCGATAATATATCAATCCACTGCAAATGAATGGCACTATGGTTAAAAAAAAACATATGGAATTTTTCTATATTTTCAATGTCTAATAATTGTAACCACATGTTCTTGAATATTCATTCATTTTATCAGATTTTTGTTTGTTGTAGAAAGAATTGGTTTCAAATCTTTTGTTGATTTGAACACATTCTCTAATTGATGAAGAAATTCTTCGAGTTAAGTGTTACATTTTCTCTTATAATTATTGTCTCCGGCAACTCGACAATAAATCTTAAAAAATGTATTATAAATTCGTTTTGATAATCGTTGTAAATGTTGGGTTGACGTTAAACTTGTTACTGCACATTGAATAATAAAATCAATATCCGCTGAAAAATCTTCATTTCTATGATCTCGCATCGATTCATTATAAATTTCAAACCTAGAAAAAAACTATATCAAATAAATGCTTGTCTGTCACTATCATCATCGAAAATTTTGTCAATATGACTCGTTAATTCTGATTAATGATTAAAATTAATGTGAATATTCAATTATAACATTAGTTTTCTTCTTGGATGATTGAATGTGAAAATGAATGCTTTATAGATACATATTATGCTCGTTCAAAGTCGAATATTTGTTAAAAAAAACAAAAGCATTAGATACCAGTTTTTACAGAAATTTGGCTAATAATTTGTAAATGATATGTTTTTGTGGATTATTCGTTCGAAAACAATGAGAATAGCAGACCATATAATAAATTCATATGTTTAATTCAATTAAATTGGTTTTTAACAATGAATATATCATTAATTTTGATCTCTAACAAATATAAATAAAATATATAATGATAATTTATAAAAGTATCATTGATTATGTTCAAAATGAGATATTTTTTCGTTCGAAATCATAGTAACATTTGGTTTGCATAAAATAACATACAGAACATGCATGTTCTTTGCAAAAAAATAGTTTTTTTCCTCCTGAAAAATGCTTCCAATGTTCATTTTATATGACTTTATTAAAGAGCAAATACAAAATTCAAGCAGCAAATGGCGAAAAAAGTTTCGTCTAATGGAAGAGAGAAAAAAATCGAACAAACAGTTTTCTTGAGCGATATGTAAAAGGTTCACGTTAATTGCATTTTTGTATTTGTAAACACTGAAGAGATGATATTGGCGTTCATGGAGTTCGTTCAGTGCTTTTTCTATTTCGAAAATAACATTCTGTGAACTGTTTTATGTGTCAATTCGTTTGATCAGTTTGCTAGGCGAGAGATTTCAGCGAATTAGAGATTTTGGTATCTAACATTTGTCGAATTAGGTTTTTCATTCTTTATTCACTTCATCAGGTAAGTTTATCTTGATTGACTCGTAGGTGTCGATTTTTTACCTCGAGACTGAGAAATCAGTTGCTTATGGAAACTTGCGTTTTGGTAGCATTGAGAGAAAAATATTTTATTTGTAAGCTTTCTCCTAACATCTGTTGCGTTTCCAATTTGACTGGAAAATAACATTATTGATAATCAGGTGATTTTGTGGATGATGCAAACACATTATTTCCGTAGATTTTATCAAGGAAGATGTCTATCTTGGAAATTACACTTCAGCATGGAAGGTACTAATCATGACTGGTGCTCTTTGCGAGCCGATGATGAAAGACAAACGCGTAGCCCTGGTATCAGGAGCTTCTCTACTTATGTACCGCTAGAAAGATCCATGCCAAACCTAACACGCTTTATTTCAAAACCGTCTTCTATGACACTTCGAAGAAAAAGTTCCAATTTAGAGGAGGCTTTATGAAAAAAACCAAAAGTTAGAGTATTGTAAAATAATCAAAAGCGGAATCGACTACAGTGCGAAAATCGAGATCGATGTTTTGTCCGAGATATCTACAAGCGTGACAGCCGCTAGCTGTGAGTGGCGCCCCGGAGGGGCGTCGACGAACGAGTAGTTGTTGATAACAGTGGTTCATTGCACAATTGATTTTGAAACGATCTCTATAGAACCTATCATGTTTTTGCTGAATCGTTTTCTATGACTTTTTGTAGGAAAAATTCCAATTTAGCGCGGATTTCACGGAAAAAGTAAAAAGAACAAGATACAAGAAAGGCTTCGCAGCGAAATCATTTATTTCGAATCATCTGTTGACATCTCTTATGATATAGACTAAAAAATTTTCTAGAATAATCTAAACCTGTATTGACTAGAACGTGAAAAGCAAGATTAATGTTTTTATCCAAAGTTTCTCGACATGTGACAGGGACTAGCCGTTGAAAACAGTTGTTCAATGCACAGTTGCTTCTAGGAATGTCTCTAAAGAATGTATCATATTTTTGCTGAATCAGTGACTAAGATTCCATTAAGAAAAGATAGCAATATTCTATATAATAACAACTGACGGGAAACGTCGATTCTCAGTCGATGAAAATGATATACCTTTGATCGATTATGACTATAAGATCGTCAAAACTATCAAAATTTTATCGATTATTCGAATTGTTTTTGATTAAAGTTAATTTAAATTTTGACATTTTGACGAAAAGAATCATTTTTCAAACAATTTCATTATGATTATAATTATAAGCATTTTAATTGAGCATTTTTTCTTCGGTGTACATCATAAGCGACTTCTTTGTAATTACTAAATCGATTTGGATGAAAAATTATCAGAATAATGGATAAGTATCGATATGTTCATCATTTTTCTTTATTATAATTCATTAAAAGTGAAGGATTTCGATCATTAGAAAGTCGAAGTTTTTTTCACTTTTATATAAACTTTCTTGTATGGGATCATGCCGCTTTTGTGAAAAAAACAATCCGAAAGGAGTGATGA